AACGGTTTTCTGCTGGCATCAACAAATTTTCGCATTAAATAATTAGCATAAAAAATGAAATTTCATAGTCTAATAAAAGGTTTAAAAGCTTAACTCCATCACAAAAGTTTACCCCAATTTCATAGAAAAACCCTTTTTGAAGCCGTCAAAAAAAAACAAATTGTAGGTCAGATCGACGCGTTTAAGTACGAAACAGCCCTTTAGAAAAAAAAAGGATAAATAACTGAATAAATAAATAAATAAATTAAATAAAACAAAATTCTCTAGATTCTTAACGACATATTATGGTGCCAAAAGCTATCTTTTGCTATGACTGACCAGACGATGTGCGCACATGGAATGCCATATATATATATATATATATATATATATATATATATATATATATATATATATATTAGCATTTTAATGTTATATATATATATATATATATATATATATATATATATATATATATATATATATATATATATATATATATATATATATATATTAGCATTTTAACGTTAATTTATATATATACATATTAGCATTTTAATAATTTATATTATATATATATATATATATATATATATATATATATTAGATTTTTACGTTATTATATTTATATATATACATTTTTTAACGTATATATATATATATATATATATATATATATATATATATATATATATATATATATATATGGGTGTGTGGTGAGTGGTTAAATCGTTCACATTTGACCATGAGACCTGGATTCGAATTTCACCATGGTTGATTTGTCAGCAAGGAAATTTCCTGATGTTATCGGACTGGTTCGGGAAAGTGTCTGAAATCATATCACGAGTTGATCCAAGGCTTCTGAGTGAAATTATGTAGACGGAACTCTTGGACTCTGTCGAAAGCAGTGCTAGCACGAAACCACCTGTCATTGCAGGCCTTTTTAAATTTGGTGTTCGCACGAGATAACACACCCTCTCTAAGTTCTGCTCAGCATTGGTGCAGTATAAACTAAATTGGTGGTTTGACCAAACAGAAATGTGCATGCAATAGTCGACGGCTATCCTCGAATACGAATGGCCAACTATACCCACACACACACACACAACATACACACATACACATCACACACACACACACACACACATATATATATATATATATATATATATATATATATATATATATATATATATATATATATATATAATGACTTTCTTCCAATATTGTTTGAGCAACTAAAAAAATACTAATTTCACAAACGCTGCTTCAAAATGAGGGTCACACAAGAAAATCAACGCAACTCAATTCACTGACGCTTCAAAAAATCGCAAGACGTTGTAAGGCCATTGAAAGCTTGATTAATGATACCAAAGACAGCACAACCCCCGAGAAGCAACCCTCTAGACCTGCAAAGCTCTACAAATTGATCTTCCACAAAACTTTGTGTAAAGATTCGCCACTTTTACTTTTAAATAATTTAAAATTTTGTGGGGAAGTGTTCAAGAAAAGTTTTTGTTTTACAATTACATAACTAAAAATTCTTGGAGATATTTTTGCAGGAAAAGAAATTATTCAATATTACTTGTGTACATACGGAAAATTCGTCCCAAACCTTAACAAAAATAATTTAAAAAAAACTTAAAACGTATTTTTTTGAGTGTTGCTTCATGCATAATTTAATAAAACACATTATTTTCTTTCGGGTATGACAACAAAAAATATCCACAAAATATATATTTTTAAAAATTAATGGTAATTTTCCAGTGCAATTTTGAAATTCATTCGGTAAGTTTTCGTAACAAGGTTTTTTTTTTTAGTTCTTTTTTTTTAAATTAAGTAAAGGCACGTTCGAAGAATCAGAAAAAAATAAGATTGAATGCCATTTTCAATGCTGAACATTTTTAAAAATTTTTCTTTTCCTTTTTGTAACTTAGATTATTTTGGTATGTGTATTCAAAATAGAAATAATAATATAAATATAGGCTGAATGCTATGAAGAAGACAACTGAGAAATACGAATTCAAGGGCGAAGAATGGACAGAAAAAAAAAAACGCCCCTTTTCAGGAACGACAAAATTTCTTGGATGCCATGGCGTGATACGGTTTTACTTTATTTAATAAATTTCTTTATTTGAATTAAGATAATGTTAGCTTCAAAAAATAATGCAGTGATATTAAATAATTAAAGGGGAATTTAACTGACTTGAAAATTAGCATTTATAGAAAAGGCACAGAGAAACTACATTAAGGCGACAGGAAACTGACTGAAAGTGAGATGCCAGGTCAGTACAATTATCATTGCAGATCCTTATTTCTATTCTATCAAGAATCTCTTAGCAAAAGCATCAGACCAGATGTGACAGCAATATTAAATGCGTGGACGAACGATAGACTTACAAATGGGTCAGATATAGTCTAGCGAGGAAAATTGCCTAGCGTGATACACTGAACCGACCTTCCTATCAGTAGACATAGTAACTGATTCAATATGATCTTCCTACTTCATATCAGCGGGAAACGCTATCCGGAGAAGGCACAAGTAGTCACTTTCATGGCGGTTAGCATCAGCCATATTGAAGAAAGACAATTTCTGGTACAAAGAAAACCAAGTTGCTTTTACAGTTCCAGTATGGAAACTGCATAAAAATAATTATCAAGTTTTGTTTCAGATGGAATTTAAAATATGTGTCTCTTTACATAACGCTTAACACAATGTGAGGACAACGGGTGATTGAAGCGACAAAGAGAGGCCGCTTTTAGAGTCTGTCTGTCTGATGCGGCATTCACCCTGGGCGGATTGAGCCGGCTTCTTCCTGTTATGAGAAGAAGATTCTTGGGATAAATTACAGAAGTAGGGTACCCAGGCCTACTTGGATAACGTTCTTGCTTGCCGCGGGGTTCCCACAGACGCAGAGACAGGAACGACCAGAAGCCGCCGGTTACCGATGCAGACGCTCCTTGGATTTTCACCAGAGCCCTTGTTAGCCGGCGTGTGTGTCAGACCTGTCCGCCTTGGTGGCCCTACCAGGAACGAAGTTCCGGGCGGCATAGCTCTGACACTACTGTTTACACCCCCACAGCGACTGTGAGGTAAGGGTTGGACTTTGGGGGCTTACAGTACCAGGTGTTCCCAAGCGGTCCCCATCTAAGTACTGACCTGGCTCTACGCTGCTTAACTTCGGTGATCGTACGAGAACCGGTGTTTCAGCGTGATTTTAGAGTATGTCCAGTTGATTGACGTTGAGTTGCTGCCTGAAAAATTATACTGCTAAATAATGCAAGGTGATTAAAATCGGCAAGTAAATTCATGTACATCCTTGTGAAAATTAATTAAACAACTGCTTTAGTTTTATTTCTTTCATCATTCGGTCAGTTTTAAACCCACTGGAGTGACAGGGTTTAATCGATTTCTATTTTTTCCTCAGATTACGTCATTTGCAGTGTTGTGCAGCAATATGAATATTTTCCGGCTGTATAATGAAATTTGTTTGGCTTTGAAAAATATTGCGTCAGTCATGATTGCATCAGATTTTTATCACGCCTAGACACTATTGTCTCGACTGTCGATTAGTTGTCCTACGGCCATTTTCTGCGATGGACGTTTGTTGAAGGAACCATACGAAAATTGTAACACTGCACGAACGTACTATCAAATCTTAGCAGTGAGCAATTCAAAGTTCTATAGACTGGCCCGGAAAATCTTCTGATTTAAATCCAATCGAGAATGTGTGTTGAATCTGCAAGGATGACTTTGTGGAATGGACAACATGTACTAACATGTGCACTGGGTGATGTTTCGTTGGAAAAATACGAAGAAAAAAATAAATAATAACAGAATTATTCGTTTTGTTTCAATTTGCACAAGGGTGTATATGTGAACCAGAGATGTGTGTCAAAATTCACAAACACAGCACATTTATTATTGAAATATACATGCAGTTTCCTGGGTTGAAATTATGAAGGATAGTAAATTGTATAACCAGCAATTTTACATATACAAAATGAGTCAAAGACTTAAGCAACAGTTTAAAGAAGTCCAATGTAATGCTTTCACAAACCTCTAATAAAAAGCTCTTGCGTCGCTGCCCGAGAATATGTTGTATTTTACGATGATGTTGGGTGAATTGTAAGTAATGGTTTTAAAGAAAGTAAATATTATGTAAGAGAGTAAGTAACTTATTTCTATCTAGATGTTTTTACAAAAATTCCATTAATCAGAAAATATTCTATAAACATGTATGGATAAATATTAATATAGAAATTGAACTGTTTCTTCTTTCCGAGTAATTGATTTGTTTTTTCGTTTTCTTTTTTTCTTTTCGGATGCGAAATTAACTTTGAAACAACACGCTTTTCACGATAAATAAATCTGTTGCGAAATGGAATTTGTGAACCTCCGACCACTGAAGTATTTTCCCATAATAAATGTCAAGCGCCACTGGTACTTAGACCCAAATTGCTTGATCCACAGACTATCGAAATTGAAGTTCGATTAACATAGAGGGTGCGATGGATAAACTGTCGTCTAAATGAAGCAAAAATGAAAATAACACTGACATTTCATTTTAATGGATATTCAGGGTGCGATGGGTAAATTGTCGTCTAAATGAAGCAAAAATGAAAATAACACTGACATCTCATTTTAATGGATATTCAGGGCGCGATGGGTAAATTGTCGTCTAAATGAAGCAAAATGAAAATTTTAATGGATATTAACACTGACATTTCATTTTAATGGATATTCAGGGTGCGATGGGTAAATTGTCGTCTAAATGAAGCAAAATGAAAATAAATCTCATTTTAATGGATATTATATATATATATATATATATATATATATATATATATATATATATATATATATATATATATATATATATATATATATATATGGTGCTAACAATAACACCGGTCAATATTTTTTATGCAAATGTTGTTGGGCAATGGGCACATGTTTTTGGGTATTTCTCACGCTGAATCTGAAAATCACCAAGATTATAATCTTGTTCATTATAGTGATGAACAGGGAGAAAGGTTTCAGCAGGATCTCAAGGTAATGAAAGAATGATACAGAAGCATATGGGGTATTCTGCTGTAGCACAAAAAGAGATCAATCTTTTCAAAAGCACTGTAGAGTTTCACGAAGAGAAGATTTTTACATTTGAATGGACAAAAATGAACTTATTTTTCATTCCTTTGTATATATGTTTGTTTTGATTCAACAACTGATGACACGTTTGCCTTAATTTAATTTTGTGTGAGATTTTCTGAAACATTTTTTCTGAACTGAAAATGCTGAAATTGCATTCTTTATGTTATTGGGATCCTTTTTATTTTATGCTAAGTTATTCTAACCTGAAAACGTTTAATGTTGGTTCTACTTGGCTCTGGCATATCGTTGTTAAATGTGTATTTTGGCCTATTTTAAGAAAAAGAAAAATTATCTGTACTTAGAAAACGATGGAAAAAATGAAAATGAATTTCAGGCTCAGCCTGAAAAAATAACCCAGAAACAGTTGCCCATTGCCGAACAATATTTGGGTTGTACAAAATGTTGACCGGTGTTAATTGGCTTCCACTAATTTTCTAAAACATAGTTTCAGCTTAGAGATTGGCTATCACTCCAATGGTGAAAAGTGGTTGAAATCACTATCCGATTTTCCATCACTTTGAACATTACTTAATTAACCATTAATCAACAGACATTTTAACAAGTTTAATTAAAGCTAATATTTTGTTTTCTTTTTTTTTTTTTTTTAGCAGTAGCTGAATTAAAGCCTAACACTGTTAATGTATCTGCATCTGAATACATTGTGCTACATTTAATTCCTGGCCATCGAATAGCGGAAGTTATTTCCGTTCGAAATACATCTTTTCCCATTTAGTCCTATTGCCAAGTAATGATTTTTTTTTCTCTAAGAGCTGAGATTTAAATTATTATGGGAGACAAACACTTGAAAAGACATTGTGCATTTTAAATTAATAATCTACGCCATTTTGCTCAACAATTATCGGAGTCTATCATCGTCTTCTTCTCTCTTCTTTTTTTCTTTTCATCTCTGTTTTCTTTCATTTCTTCTTATTTTTTCTTTTTCTCTTCTTTTTCTTCTCTCTTCTTTTCTCTTCTCGCTCCTCCTTCTCTCTTCTTCTTCTCTCTTCTTCTCTACACTCTTTGTCCTTTCTTCGTCGTTTTCATCTTCTTTCTTTTTCTTTTTTCTTTTTCTTCTCTCTTCTTCTTCTTCTTCTTCTTCTTCTACTACTACTACTACTACTACTACTACTGTCTTCTTTTACTTCTTCTTCTTCTCCCTTCTTCTCTCTTCTACTCTACACTCCTAGTCCTTTCTTCGTCGTTTTCATCTTTGTCTCTCTTTTTCTTCTCTCTCTCTTCTTCTTCTACTACTACTACTACTACTACTACACTCTTCTCTTCTTTTACTTCTTTTTCTCTCTTCTTCTTTTCTCTTTTCTTCTTCATCTCTCTTTTTTCTCTCTGCTATCCGCTTTCTTCTCTCGCTTTTTCTCTTCTTCCTTTTTCTTCACCCACCTTCTCTCTTCTTCTCTGCTTTCTTCTTCATAATCATCTCACTTCTTCTCTCTTCATCTTTCTCCATTCTTCTTTATATTCTTTCTTTTCTTTTCTTCTTTTCTCTTTTTCTCTTCTTTGCTTCTCCTCGCTTCTTCTTTCTTCTTTTTCTCTATTCTTCTTCTCTCTTCATCTTCTTCTCTCTATCTCTGTTCTTTCCCGTTTACTTACCGTTTCCAATCTCTTATACCGTCTTCCTTCAGTTTTGCTTCCTTTCTTTTTCATTTCATTTACTATCTAATTATTCTCTTTCTTCCATTCATTTGTCTTTAAATTTTTTTCTTTCTTACTCTATTTTCTTTTAATCATACTGATTTTTCTTTGATAGCTACTCTTCTTCTCGTCGCCCCTCTCTTACTTTTCCTTTTTCGTCTCATTCTTTTTCCCTCAATTCATTTTCCTTCTTTTCTTTCATATTTCTTTTTCTCCTATTTTCACTCAGTTCCTCTTTTGGGTTCCATATTTTTTTTCTTTTTCACTTCCTTGTTTTAAAAATTCTTCTTCATTTTCATTCCCCTTCATTTTTCTCTTGTCGTTCTTCCTATGCTTCTAATTTTTAAATTTTTCTTCGACCTTTTCCATTCAATTAAAAAAAGCCTCCACTTCTACTTCTCCCCTAGCACCTCCTTATTTCCCTTTCTTCTTCTCTTAATCTCTCTCTTCTTCCTTTTCCTTTCCCTACTTTCTATCCATTGTAATCTCCCCCTCCTTCAGACAATCTGTATTATTATATCTTGAAGCTGTGAAAAAAAGATACCGATGAAGTTATATTTGAAGCCATAACGTTGTCACTATTAATCGTCGACCATAAACATTTTTTATCATCAACATTTTTATTACTACGCCGAATCGGCTTGGCTATAAACGTCGAAAAGAAGGAATGATGTTCATTTTTCAAGTAATGCAGTTTTTGTTTTTGCATTATTTTTACTGATACGCGGGATAAACTAAGTAAACGTTTCTTTATTTTAACTTTTTCATTATTCCACTATATTTGCAATTTAAGAAGTTTTTTAGATGACAAGTTTCATTTCTACTAAAAAGAAATATCATATGCCAAAGAAAAAAAAACTGTCATTTTTTTCTAATTTGCATAGATATAAATATTATGGCGCTCAAAATATAAATATGTTTTGCCAGAAATTATATAGGGAACACGTTTAAGTTAAATTTATTCACTATTACTTAGTAAATGTTATCGCTTCATTTTCAAATCCCCAACGGGAAGGTAAATTTTCAGTTTCAAAGTTAAAGGAATTTAGTTAGCTTTTACTCCGAAAAAAAAAAAAAGTTTGAAAGACAGTTTTCAACCTCCACGTCTCAGAATGTGCTTCTACTTATGACATTTTTGATTGTTGGAAAGAAATGGAAACCCGTAGGTGATAAATCTGGTGAGCATGCAAGATGTAGAAGAGGGGTGGCCAAACCGCGGATCGCAAGCCACATGCGGCTTATTGGCCTTTTATATGCGGCTCATGGAAATGTGTTGGCTGAGCTCTGTTTTGTATCACAGTTAATATAAAAAGTAAATAAAAAAAATCCAAGCTTCATAATTATTTACTGGGTATTAATTGAGACCCCATCGAATTAAAACGGAAGTTTAATGTTAATATTAGTAAAAAATATTTAAGAATTCAAACCCTAATTTTAATGTGAGATCTGAGAGAGGCATTGTTCTTTTTAGTGTGGAGGAAAGGAATGTTGGGAGGTGGATAGATTAAAGAAATTTCTGGCCAGCAAAGTTTACAAAGGAATGTCTGAAGACTGTGCTCATAGGTGAGAGGATTAAAGATTTGGGGTGAGCCGGTGGAAATGAGTGCGGTTCTCAAACACCTGAACTTTATCGTGGGTGGCTCTTACATTAAGCAACTTTGCCCATAAGTGTCAAAGGGGGGAGGGATATACAAATAAACAAATTGAAAAAATAAAAAAAATTGAACATATTTGCAGCTTAAGAAATTAATCAGATACACTTACATCACACACATACATACAAAAACGTTACGCTTAAAATATATTTAGTTGAATTCATAAGATTGTGTTCCAAATATTTAGATTTCGGCATTAAATATCCCATACAGCAGGGGTGGCCAAATCGCGGCTCGCGTGTCATATGGCGCTTTTGATCATTAAGATGTGGCTCGTGGAAATATGTTAGCTGAGCTCTTTTTTTTTCATTACAGTTAATATAAAATGTAAAAGAGAAAAAAAAAAACAAGCTTTACAATTATTTAGTGGGTATTAATAGAGACCCCAATGGATTAAAAAGGAAGTTTAATGTTCATGGTCAGTAAAAATATTTAAGAATTTAAATCCTAATTTTAATAATAGCTCTGAGTGATGCATTGTTCTTTTTAGTGATGTGGGAATAATGGATGGTGGAATGCAAAGGGATTTCTGGTTAGCAAGGTATTCTAAGGATATCATGGACCGAGCGTGTGAGCAACGATGAGGTTTTTGGAGAGGATGCAAACAATGGGTAAGCATATACTTCACATCAGTAAGAGGTAGCTGAAGTTTCTGGGATACATAATGCGAAAGGAGGGCCTGGAGAATTTGATACTCACAGGTCGAATAGAAAGTAAGAGAGACATGGGAAATCAACGCATGACATACCTGTCGGGCTTAAGTAAGTGGATGACAGAACGTGGTCTGGGAAGATGACAGATTGATAAAACTTATTGAGAGTTACAATGGATAGGGGGAAGTGGAGAGCGATGGTCGCCTACCTCCTGAAAAGACACGGCACATAATAAAGAAAATAAGATTTACAGAGGAATGACTGAAGATTCAGGTCATGGTGACTGCACTAATGTCAGGTACATTAATGCAGTGCAACACAAGACGTTGAAATGTGCAGACCCCGTTGGTACACTTCGGATAAAAGTTTTATATAAAGTGTCCGTAAAAATTCTCTGAAGAAAGATGGCCTTCTCAAATTGTAAGAAACGAAAATAGAAAAATGAAAATAGAAATTGTAAGACAAAAGATGGAGGTAGATTTTGCATCCACTGTTAATGGACGACGTATTTCATATGGCACCAGATACAAGCAAGAAATTCTGCTGATAGATATCTGATTTTGGAGTAGACACTTGGGTTTTATCTTGTGATAAACACAGTGTTTTTCGATTTCACTTGACATACGAAACCTATTTTTATCACATATAGCAAAGTAATGTAAAAAAATGAAAGATTGTCATTCCTGACAGAAAGGCTATTTCAGATAGTGGAACATTGCGTTTATTTCTCAAATAAAAGCACATCATGAATACAAACTCCAAGTTTTTACAATTAACTCTGGGTTAGTCATCTCGGATTTCGACAATGGATAGTCCCATGGCGTCTGCCTCCAACCAAATCAGACTTGAGCTACAATTACGCCATACCGCGGGCTACACCTACTCAGAAAACAAAAATGATTTTAGACTCAGTAATAGAATTATTTCAATTTGTAGTGCTGTGTTTGAAGATTATTTTATTTTTTTTTCTTTTTAGACACCTTACCCATATATACACACACACTTACACACAAATATATATATATATATATATATATATATATATATATATATATTTTATTTAAAATATTTTTAAAATATTTTATCATTGTGACACTGAAATTCTCCTGTTTCGAACTAAAACTTTCGTTCCACTTTCAAGCATGTTGAATAACTTCAGAGAAAAATTATTGCTGCTTTGTATGGAGCACCTTCTAAAAAAATAAATGCCAAAAAATTGCGGATTTTTAATCTGTTCTTTCCTTTATTTGAATATATATATATATATATATATATATATATATATAATTATTACCAATTCCTCATATCTGGAAGGCCTTTTTAGTCCGATTATCAGGGATTCTATATATATATACATATATATATATATATATATATATATATATATATATATATATATATATATATATATATATATATATATATATAGTATCGGAAAGTAATTATGCATTTCACGACTTTGTCGTTTATCGTGAATTTCAGTTTAACACTTTGTTTGGCACATGAATTTGTTGCACCCCAACATTTTTTAAAGTACTCTTAATTCCAAGTTCGTAACTTGTTTATTTTATTCCTTACCAGTACTCTCCTGAATAAGTGAGTGGATGTAGCATTCGGTGTGACGTAATTTTAGTTTTAATTGTGTCGTTTCGTTGGGGACCTACCAAACACTATCCGCAACATACCCGTAGATAATTCAAATATAATAGCCTCATACATAAGTAAAAAATGCTAAAAAGATCAGAGATTGCAACCACTCTATATAACTTATTCAATCAAATGCTCATATTCATAAATAACAAAATTTCAACAAATTCTACCAGCTTAAAAATATCCAATAAAACAATAAAAGAAAAAAAACAACATATGAATCAACCCAAAGGAACAGCTGATATTCAAAGAAACTAGAATAAAAACTGAAAACAATTCAAATAAAAACAACAAAAAAAAAAATAATTTGGTTCAACCTCCCACAACAATATAATAAGTGAAAAATAGGCAAAATACTCTTCAAAATGATTAACAAACACTTTTTTAAATGCAACAAATTATCAAAAGTTATCAATAAAAATACAATCAAAATTAGTTACATCTACATGGATAACATGGATAAAATAATAACTAAGCACAAGAAAAAAGATTCAATAAAACCAGTAACAATTACAGCAACAATAGAATCCATCAAAATATCACCATTAAATGTAACTGTGCAAACAAAGACAACTGCCCACTTAACAATAAATGTTTAATCAATAACATAATATACAAATATATCGTAAGTAATTACGTTAGCACAAAAGAAAATAGTCATATAAGTGGCACAGAAGAAAAAATAAAAGAAAGACATTATAACCACAAAATGTCCATTGAAAGAAAAATTACACAAATTAATGCAACCCTATCAAAATACATATGGACATAAGAACAAAAAAATATCCCCACCAAAATCAAATGGGGATAAAAAGGGAAGGCCATACAGTATTATTAGTAAAATTGAAAATTATGATTAGAAAAAAATAACAATAATTAGTTTTGGAAAACAAAATAAACTCTAAAACAAGAAAACTGAAGAAATGGGTAAATGTAGGCATATAAATAAATACTTACTTTGCTATCAAAGTACTAATTAAAAATAAATAAATGAAATAAATATAATCTAAACTTTAAATAAATAAAGAAATATAGTATAAATTTAAAAAATAAACAAGGAATAAATAAATAAGAGCACGAAAAATTATTCAATATACAAATTTATACGCGTATATATTTGTGTTTATATTTATATGCACATATAAATATATACTAGTATTATATTTATATGCACATATAAATGTATACTAGTATATATATTAGTATTTTAATAGTATAGCTGGCCACGCGTATTCGTCTACTGAGCCGGCTATCCTCAAACATATTTTTGTTTATTCAAACCTGCGGTTTATACTGCAACTATGCTGAGCAGACATTGGAAAGACCGTATTTTCAACAATTTGTAAAAAGGCCAGAACAGCTATTTTTAAGTGATTTTATATATTCATGTTTTAATTTTCGAATAAATCATATATATATATATATATATATATATATATATATATATATATATATATATATATGCACGCTCTTCATTTAATAACTGTAATGTACATAGATAGACTAACGGTTAATACACATAGATTT